GCGCGCCGCCCTCGCGGGCCGCCGCTCCCCCGCTGGGGACGACGACGGCGATTCCTCGACGACGACGACGATTCCTCGACGATGCGGCGACGACGATTCCTCGACGACGCGACGACGACGGCGGCGACGGCGACGACGCTTCCTCGACGACGACAGCGACGACGACGGCGGCGGCGACGACGACGACGATTCTTCGACGACGACGACGACGGCGACGACGGCGGCGGCGGCCGCTCCCGCCAGGGTTGGCCCCCCGCGGTGTCAGGAACCGACGCCGGGGTCGACACGACGCGAGCCTTCCGTGCAAGAGCGCCAACAGGAATCCCACCAGACCTCTGGGCGTACAGCAGGTTCATGTCGAGTCGATGCGGCTGCGACCCCGGCGCGGGCGTTCATGGTTGAACACCGCCGAAGGCGTGGGATCGGCCAGTATAGAACGTTCTGGCGATCGAACAGCCGCGGATCGTTCAATGTTGAGCGATCCGCGCGGTGTCAGAAACCAGCGCCAGGGTCGTCACGACGCGAACTTGCCGAGAGGCCGTCAGCGACTTTTCCGGCCACGTTCAACAGGTGATGTTGGCCGCTTGACAGGAGGTCGAGGGCGCCGAGGAGCTGACCCAGGAACTGCAGGAACTGGAAAACACCGACAGTCAGCACATGGTATACGCTGCTGTCGAGCATGCGGCCGCCAGCATAGGCCGCAGGCCACACGAGTGGCCCCAGCACCTGGAGACGCAGCACCAGCGTCAGCACGTTCACGCGCAGTGTCACTACTGCCCGCGCGGCGCCTCCTTAGATGACTACGCCAAGCTAGAGGGGGAGGACGACGGAGGAGAACACGTGGAGATGCACCTCGATCCTGCAGTGCGCGAGGTATTCTTTAGCTGCCACGAGGGGAATTTTGTTGCCGGCGCGTCCACCACAGCTGCGCTTAAAAATATATGTCGCCGTCAAGACCACGGAAATCAAAAGCGACGCCGTTCTCCTATCCAAAGAGGAGGTGTCGACGCTGTCCAGGAAAGTGGCCGCCGCCATCTTGAGGAGCTCACAATCTGGGTCAAATACAACTGTTTCGAACGACGTCCGCCCAAAGGCGTTCGGAACGTCGTTGGCTCCAGACACGTGTTCAAGTAGAGACATCGCAAGGGGCCTGACGGCAAAACGGTCATGATCATCTGGTGCCGCATGGCGCTGAGACGCTTCCGCGACATGGGCGTCGGAGCCCTGGAAACTTTCGTTGACGCAGTGAAGCGGGCGTCCCAGCGCACTCTGTCCTCAGAGGCGGCTTTTCGCCCGGCTCAGACTGGGTGTACGTCGCCGTGGACGTCGAGAAGGCTTTCCTGCAAGGCATGACCTATGCCAAGATGCAGGGGGGGGCGAAGCACCGCGAGAGGTGAACTTCACCCTGCCACCCAGCAGTGCTGCCATCCTCTGGCAGGTTCTGGGTTACGAACCCATCGACGAGCGGACCGAGTGCCTGCGCTGGATCGAGGTGGGCACGGGCTGCAAGGATGCGCTCAGAGCTTTCTCCTTGAAGCTTGTCAGGGTCACGCGTTCGCCCGAGTGCAACGCCAAGCCGAGGCGATGGGGTCCTGAGCTCGGGGTCGAACGTGAAGCGTCTGGCGCCTGTGGTGCCAGCGATTCACGTTCCCAAGCACGCTGACGGTCTCAAGATCGCAGGTCGCAAGGGGCATGTCGACCGACTTATCGGCCATATCGAGGGCGTCTTCGGCGAGATGAATGTGGACTACGACGATTTTACCAGCTGCAGAGTCCACCAACACCGCAGTGCCGACGATGCAGTGACGCCCGACCAGGACGAGTGCATCGACGCGCCGAGCTCGACCTGGTCAAGTTGAAGGCCGACGAGCTGGCCTGAGGGCCCCTTCTGGACCTTTCTGTCTCCCTCCTCGGAGCAGCCGCCTACGCGCTGCTCCCGCAGCGTCGCCTTACCGTCTACATCGTCGCGCTGCGACGTGCCGGGAACAAGCTGCTCATCAGACGCGTGATGCAGCTCAACTCCGATGTTCCAGCCACGCAGAAGATCAAGGCGCGCGTGGCCTTCTCGGCGATGGGTGCGCAGGCCAGATCTGCGTGCGCAGCGGGCTCGTTCAAGCGCGAGGTGATAAAAAAGAGTGCGGCGTGCGTGGCGCCGTCTGCATGCATCCCGGCAGGTGTCGCAGTACTGGTGAACAGATCTGCGATTTGTCGCGCAAGCTTGTGTGTCGATCATCATTCTTCTCGGGGCTGCTCGCAGCATGTGGGGCAGAAGGCGGCCGACAGGCGCGCCTCCTGACGCTGCGCGAGATGGTGCGCAGGCCCGCCTCAGCAGATGAGATCAGGGGGCGGGGGGTGGAGGGGGGTTGCGCTGTGCCAGCCGAGCTGGTCGCGGACGGGATGTCCGTCTTTCCGCCCTGGCCATGGGCCGTGCGCGGCCGGCATCTGGCAGTGGCGTGGCAGGCCACCCGAGGTGGCTGGCGGACCAGCTGCGCGCCCTGCAAGTCACTGACATGCTGTGGCGCGATGCTCGCGACATGGGGGCCGACCCCATGACGAAGAGAAGTGTCGGCCAGGAGCTCGACCTCCTCGCGGAGGGGGAGCTCGCGCACGAACGCCCCGCTTTGAGGTTGGGCGAGGGGCGGCGCAAAAAGACGGCGCCGAGCTCTTGGCGCAGCCGCCTCGGCGAGGACATTGGCGACGACGCTGCGCAACCCGCTCCGAGTCGCATGTCCGAGCTGTGTTCGCGAGTGCGTCAGCCGACTCGCACGTCGCGCAGTGCGTCCGCGCATGCCGCGCAGCGCATCGGGGAAACCGGGGGTGCAGTAGCCCGCGCATCGCGCGCTACGCACGCGAGTGCGTTGCTGCCAACGAGACTGCGAGGGGGGGGGGGCTGCGCGTGAGAGGGGCCGTCACCATCAAACGTGTTGGCGGGGCGGCAAATATTCTGGCTGTTGAGCGCGCGACTTAGGCGCTGTGTGCTCCAGTGGATGTGTCCGCCGTTTTGCAATTTTTATCGGGGGCCCAGTCAGCGGGGGGCTCTAGGTGCAGCGTTCTCTCTTCGGTGCAACTGCGCGCTGGGGCCTGGTCATTAGAAAGCACCAGCCTCGCAACTTCTCATGGGGGGCCCGGCTCGCAGAGGTTTTTTCTCGGTGACTTGGGGCGGGCGGGGGGTGGTGGCGTGGCCCAGCCCACAACGGGGGCAACCCCCCTTTTTTTTGTAGTGATGCATGGTCAGTGGAAGGTCCGCGCGCGGCCCGGTCGCGGAGCGCGCCGCCTGAATTCGCGCCTCTGTGTTGTCTCGCGCGGGCCTGCAGCGGGCGCTCGCGCAGGCGCGTTGCGGGAATCGCGCGCGGGGCGGGTCGCGGCGCGCCCTGGCGCCGTTAGCTTCGTAGGTTTGCCGTCGTTGATCGGCGCCGCGCTCGCCCGGCGCTCGCCCGCGGCGCTGGCCCGTCGGCCGTTCTGCCTGGCATGTGGGTGGGGTAGGTGGCGGTCGCGCGGGCGCGCTGTCTCCTCTCGCCGCGTGCTTCCGCGATGGGCGATGTGCGTTCTCCTGTGCGGCCGCGGTTACCTGGGCTGGGGGAGGGTGTCCCTGGTGCTCGTGCGGGCGCAGCTGCGCCCTCCGCCCGCTCCGCCCGTGGCCGCTGCCGCGGGGGTGGGTGCCGCCGCCGCGTCGTCGTCGTCGTCGTCGTCGTCGTCGTCGTCGTGGTCGGCGTCGCTGGCGGTGCTGCTGCTGCTGCCGTTGCGTCGTCGGTGCCGTCCGCTCGTCGTCGCTGCCGCGCCCCCCCCTTCCTGCGGGGGTCGCTGCCGCCGCTGCCGCGTCGTCCTCGTCGTCGTCGTGGTCGTCGTCGCCGCGTTTCGCCCCGGCGGTTGTCGGGCGTGGCCGCCGCCGCCGCCGCGTCGTCGCAGCTCGCCGTCGCTGCCGCGTCGCCGTCAGTGCCGCCGCCGCTGCCGCCGTGTCGCTGTTGCGTCGCTTCGCTTGTTCCCGGCTTCGCGCCGTCTCCTGCGTGGCCCGGCGTTGGGGTTCGCGCGCCCGCGTCGCTCGCCCGCGAGCGCGCGGCGCGCGCTGTGGCCGCGCGCGTTTCCTGCGCAGCAGGGTTGGGCGACCCGAACGAGGGCGGGCGCCCCGACAGTGCGACCATTGCGCTCTGTGCTGGCTGCCCGCGCGCGGGCAACATAAAGTCGGGCTGCCCGCGCTGGGGGGCCCCAGCGGCGCTGCGAACGCACCCTCGCTTGGGCGGCCCGCCTGGGGGCGACGCAGAAGCGCGGCCATGGCGCTGGTAAACAGGCGACCCGCGCAAGGGCGCCCTGTCGTTGAGCCGCCCGAACTAGGGGGCCCCGATGGTGCTACAAACGCACCCGCACTTGGGCGATTCGAACAAGGGCGATCCGACAGCGCGACCATGGCGCTCAGTGCGGGCGACCCGCGCTGGGGCGACATGAGGTTGGGCTACCCGCGCCAGGGGGCCCCGACGGTGCCGCGAACGCACCCGCGCAACGGCGACCCGATCAAGGGCGACCCAACAGCGCGACCATAGCGCTCAAGACAAGCGACCCGCGCTACGGCGTCCTTCGCTCGTTCGCGTTCATCTCGCTAAGGTTGGCGCGGTCAGTGGCGCCTGCGTTGCCGTCGCGCGCGCGCCCGCCATTGCGCGGACAGCGCGAGTTCGCGGCCCGAAGTCAGGCAAGTGTGGCGTCGCGTGCTCGCGCTTTGGCCCGTGGCTCGCGCGCGCTCGCTGGTGCCGCGTGCGCGTCTGCATGGCGCGCTCGGTCCGTAGCTGTTTCGCTCGAACGAGTCCATTGCTTGCCAACTCGTCGTGCGCCCTTGAGCTTTGCTCCGCTGCCGCCTACCATGGCCGCGCCGCTCCTCGACTTCCTCGATTCCGGGGTGGGCGGGCGCGCGAAGTCGAGGCAATGGCGGCCAACGGCGTCGAGGGCCCGGAGGGCATGGTCAAAGTCGACGTCAGGGCCGCGACCTTCCAGCTGAACGGGCTGGTCGAGGG